GCTTCCATGGAAAACTCTGGGATCCCTCTTGCTGTGCACAAATAACAAAAGAACTGGCACCTTTGTAAGTCTACAGTAGGGCTTCTGTAAGATTACAGATTTCTGGCAGGTTAAGACCTGAATACTCATGGTTCATATAAACCTTATGGCACCTTTTTCCAGGAGGAGTGTTAAGACTTCCTTGGTTAACTTTCTGCTACAAGAATGATTTGACCTCCTTAAATATGACTGCTCTAACCACTTTTACATGGAACTAGACATTCACATTGATGCAAAATGCGGCAATCCACTAGTGGGGACTGGGAGACGGGTTCTTTAGCAAAGACTCTGAGCTTCTGCATAGCTATTGGAAAATACTAAGCAGACTCCAAGGTACCGACTTTAATTTACCATTTCCTGGGATCTACTGTCAGAAAGAATGTGCCACAGCCTATGGCATGCTGCTACAAGCACAAGACACATCCAAGCTGCAGCACCACAGAGAAGGAAGATCAATGGCAAGGTGCTGCCTGTGAGGAAGCCCAGCCTTTAGACTTGGCCAGGCAAGTACTTTTACCTGTGGGCAACAAAAGCTTTGGGGTGAAAAAAAAAAAATTGAGAAATATTCTAGTCCAAAATGATGCTGTGATGCTTCAAGAGAATTATCATTTGAGTGCTGACTGCTGTCATGTCCTGATCCCATCTGCATGTGTCAGGGGGAGGGGAGAGCATCGGAGGGGCTAAATGTCTGATGGGGGATAAAATGCAACTACAGAACCCAGCCTACAGGGTACAGTCATTATTTTCAGCTTCCTTGAGACATCCATATCCTGCTTTAAAGTCAAACTATTTGGGGTTCTTGTGCATTCAGATTTTTCAAAGAAATACTTGGATTTGTTTAAAATTATCATTCCTCAGGGGTCAGTGTTGGGACCAGTGCTGTTTAACATCTTTGTCGGTGACATGGATGATGGGATCGAGTGCACCCTCAGCAAGTTTGCTGACGACACCAAGCTGTGTGGTGCGGTCGACACGCTGGAGGGAAGGGATGCCATCCAGAGGGACCTGGACAGGCTGGAGAGGTGGGCCACTGCCAACCTCATGGAGTTCAACAAGGCCAAGGGCAAGGTCCTGCACCTGGGTTGGGGCAATCCCAAACACAAGTACAGGCTGGGCGGAGACTGGATCGAGAGCAGCTCTGAGGAGAAGGACTTGGGGTACTGGGGGATGAAAAGCTGGACATGAGTCGGCCACGTGCGCTGGTCTAGTGCAAGGTGTCCCTGCCCATGGCAGGGGGGTTGGAACTAGATCGTATTTTAAGGTCCCTTCCAACCCAAAACATTCTGTGATTCTATGGAAAAAAAAAAGTTTTGTTGACAAGCAATTTCTAATTTTTCAAACCTCCAACATTTTTCAAAACACCTCTTATTTGTTGACTTTCCTTGTCAGCTACAAAGTGCGCTTTTGGTTTCCTGAGTTGAAAGGAGCTGGGATGATTCTAATGGGAGGAAATGCAAAGTTTCGGTGGATCTTGATCTGCTAAAAATGAAATAATAAATACTGGGCAAAGAATGTCCCTAGAGAATTGTGTTTGTCTCCTTCCATTTTGAAGATGAGCCAAGGAATGACCAAATTTTGTTGACAGGGTTATAAACAAACCGGTTAAAAAGAAACTCCACCTGCAGTTTCTCAGTGGGCTGACTAATCCCTTCCTCTTTCGATTGTTTGCACAGCCCTGCTTCACACGATTAAACAGCCAGTAATGACGCACTCACTGTGCTTTCTCTCGGAGGTAGCCACATCTCATTCTGAGCATCTTTTTTGCAAAATTCATTGTGCCCCTTTACCAGGAAGGATGCTTTGCAAATGAAGGCTGCTGCTGCTAAGAAATTGGAGCTGCCTCTTCCTATAGTGCCGTGAACATAAACATCAACAACTGGATATCACGGATATCAACTCTGAAGCAAGAGAGGAGAAAGAAAAAGGGAGACTTAGCATTACTTTGTATCAAAGCTAAGTGTAAATATATATTGCTGAATTAAGTGTGGAGACTGACCTTTTGCACTCATCTCGCTAAAGTAGCCAAGGGAAAGTGTCCCAAGCCCTGGCAACTCTTGGCATTTACACAACCATGATTTTGTAACTACCTGCTGCCCAAAAAGCCAAGATAATTCAACAGGATCTTTGCAATGAGTTTGCCGGACTCGGTTAAGGTTTGGGATGCAAATTCAGGAAATAGGTTGTAAAGGGAAAAAAAAGGTGGAGTCAGAATGCAGAAGCATTTGGCTCAGCCTCAAGCAAAGGTTACCATCTGCCGCTAAGCACTACCCTGGCCCAGCACCACCCAGAACTGTAAATGCAAGCTGCTGCCGGAAGGACGTTTATAGCAGGACCAAACTCCTCACAGGAGCAGGCATGCAGCTGTTCCAGCACACAGAGATCACTGAGCTACATGGGCTTATAAATTCACCTCTTCTGCTTTCAAACCGACACTCAGACTTGCCTGTCATCAGTTCCCACACGATGTATGTTCAGATTTTTCCTCCCCTGTTCAATTCTGCTGGAAGAGGGATATGACTTAACTTGTTTGGAGTGGCCCATTAAATAAACATGAGCAGGGCACGGCGAGCTAGCAAAAACGCCTGTGTGTTTTCATGAAGGGAACTGACTTCTTGATGTTGTCACAGGCAAGCCTCTTTCAGACATATTTATGCTGGAGCAGACTCTACTTTTTTTCAGTCCCAGAGGGATTTCTTTATCAAAAGTTGTGTTTCCTCTGGATTTCTTCCTTAACAGCTTGGTCAGAGGAAAGGAGAAAGCCAGTCCTTGACCTGCATCAAGATCTTCTATGTTTGGTCCCAAAGTTTGGGAGTCACTCACCTAAAGGCAGGAAAGCTGTTTTGAGCTGCAATGCAGTGGGGGAATGGAACAACGGTTGAATCCCTATAAGCTATTAATTCAGATAGGAAAGAAAAAAAAAGATAGAAAAAGCTAGTTTTCAGGCTATATTTGACTTTTTAAGGGATCAGAAAACAGAAGAGGAAGGGGAGTGGGAGAAAAATGTTGCTTGATATGATCTCTGCAATGGTTGCTAAGTGTTTCCAGGCCAGAAACTAAATTTAAGCAACATTTTCACCCACTCTGGAGTTTCTAGACTGCACCTCCATTCAAACAAAAAAAGATAGAAAAAGCTAGTTTTCAGGCTATATTTGACTTTTTAAGGGATCAGAAAACAGAAGAGGAAGGGGAGTGGGAGAAAAATGTTGCTTGATATGATCTCTGCAATGGTTGCTAAGTGTTTCCAGGCCAGAAACTAAATTTAAGCAACATTTTCACCCACTCTGGAGTTTCTAGACTGCACCTCCATTCAAACAGCAGCACGATAAGCTTA